TAAATAACAAGACATCCCTCCAAATAACAAGACAACCCTCTAAAAAACAAAAAAACCCTCTAAATAACAAGACATCTCTCTAAAAAACAAGACATCCCTCTAAATATCAAGACATCCCTTTAAGCATAGTTCGGAACCAGGTGTTGAATATGGGAGCTGCAGTGGTTCATTATGTTAAGTGGGTTGACTGCTGCATATGATAAAGTGTAAGTGCTGCCAACACCTGAATATTATAGGGTGTTTACTTTAAATATAGACATATGGCATCATTTATACCAACCTATCAACATTTTCAAGGCTTTAGTTTGAAAACATTACATTGGGAGGGAATAATTTTTATTTTTAATTTATATATTTATATATATTTTTAATAAATGAAATAAATAATTAAACATTTAGTACCCTTTTTTAAGTTATTAATTTACTGAATAAACTTACATGTTTCGGCTCTTAGGCCATGATCACAGTTATGAACAAATAGTAAATAAATAGAAATGTAAATAATAAATAAGTAAATTATCTTATGATTTTGGAATTTTGTCTAGTATATAGGTTGGCTTAGGTGAGTTTATATATATTTATATTTATTTTTTCACACTTCTAGCGAGCCAAGTGAAATAAACCTTCATTGAGCAGAATATACCTAAATATAACCCAAACTTATATACTAAACCAATTATAAGCGTACCACGAATATTACAAAAATACCGGTATGGATCATAAACATAAACAAATGACGTTTATGGCCCGAAAATAAACATTATTTAACATTGCTTAAATGGAACTGCCAAAACATATGTTCAATGCATTAGTATAGGATTCGGGCCAACAACATCATTTGTTTATGTTTATGATCCATACCGGAGGCGTACTATCCATGGTTATCATTTCCATAGTAATTATAAAAAATCTTTACTCTGTTCCCATCATCCTAAAAAATACATTTTTGTTTAATTTGGTAAAATGAGACATCAGTTTCCCATCCATTTTTACCTACAGATATTTATACTATAATAAATAGAAACAAACATATCCAATGCTTAGAGCCAACATTGGCAGTGTTTCATATCTACACAATGAATTATTAATTATTTCATTATGAATACCTAATATACCATATCAGCCTTTTTAGTAAAATTTCAAAAGTGTTACTGTTTCATTGTTAGTAAAATGTACATTAGACATTTAGCTAGTCAAGCTGTTTTTATACCACTGATATGTTCATCCTATGTAGATGAATGATAGTGTTAACTTTTACCTTAAGTCCTTAAACAATTTTGTAATCTGTATAAGAAATTATACCAAACAACATTTTCAAAGTCGTTGCAGAGTTATAGGTTGAATAATTTTTATTGTTATTAATCTGACTATAGCTATTAACTACGAGATATGTGTTAGCTTCTTTTATTTCATGATTTTTATAATGAAGAAAATAAAGATTATATTTATGTGTTTTAAACTAATTAAATGTATTTTTTGTATATAATATTGATTTTTAGTAGTATTATTATCAGCAATTCGTGTAAGTAAACCAAACACAAAAATAGTGTGACTCTCGTGCTTGTCGAAGTGGCATTTTGCCCAAGTTTATCTGGCCGATTTGATGGATAAATGGTTGTTTTTTAGTCTAAAGGATACATTTATTTAAATATTTCGAAAATAATATTAAAATATTGTATAATTTCTTTTTAAATGCTCAATAGATTATATTTTAAATTATATTCTAACTGAAACTCCTGACATATCAACCGACAAATTTTTGGAAACCACTGATAAATTAATTAGTTTATACTATATTATTTGTTTATTTAATTAAATATGGAAGTGGTATTTCCTGTTTCCACACTTATAATATAATCAAAACAGAAATAACCAACAGCAGTCATGACGTATGCTGCTACAAAATGGCTATTTGTAAAATGTGTTCCGTCCAATTTATTTGATAAGCTCAGCACAGTATTTTCTAAAAGCTAACTTCATCAGTCAATATTAAACAGTAAATATTGGCATTCAATTGACTGCTCACTGTAACTTCATTTCATCGCTTTTAACTCATTACCCATGTAATATGTTAAATTTCTATCAATTTACGTACATAAATTGGTTAATGTCTGTTTAGTCAATTATCCAGGGTGATAAATGGAATAATTTAAATTTTGTATAAATTAATTTGAATTTTCGAATACCAGAATCTATTTATATCCTACAATAAAATTTTTACTTAGCAGCATTTTACCTTGGTTTGAAAATCGATACTATTGAATTACTGCACTCGTCTAAATTTAACTCAAATATAGATATCTAGATTGAGATTGCATTAGGTTTATAAAGCGAAATAGAGCATTAAGCTATTATTGGCTGGGTTGGGTTTAAATACTCTTTTACTAATTGATTAACTATGCGCCCCCTAGTGTACGATTGATAACACAAGAGGATACAAGGTTTGGTAAAATCATTATTTCAAAATTAGGCTAAAAATTTTCAATCTGAACTTTGATATTATGTTTGCAATTTATTTGTCCTTTACATAGGTGTTTTCATAGAAACATAAACGTATATGGACGTAGATATTCTCTGCTATAGTTATTTTCTTGGAGCCTTTTTTTATTGCATAATTGTAACTATATTATTATATTTATAGTTATTTCATTTTTAGTATATTATATATATATATATATTTTAATTTTTTATACTAATGGAAAACCCCCAATAATATCTTCAAACAAATTTTAAATAATCCAAAGAAAACTAAAAAAAAAAATACTTGAAATTAATACTTGGTCAAGTAGTTTGTTGGCAACTTTCCTTTTACAAGAACAATTCTTTTGCGATGATACAAGTCACCAAATAGTACACAAGTAGTTTAAAAAATGTAAACTAAGCCAATTAGGGGCAAACAAACAATGTCACTATAGGTAATTACTTTTACTACTTTTACTAAAACAAGAGAACCCGTGCGGCTCAATAAAAAATTTGAGAGTTGCTAGAGAAAGTGCTTTTTCTATAAAAGAGAGAATGTTACACACCTGCGTAAGTGTTTTCCTCAAGAGGTTCGCCTAATTAGGCTAATGCTGAGCTTAAAGAGCGGTGAGAGCGAGAGGCTTACAGTTAACACAAAGAATGCTTTGTTTTGATGCTTAAGTAAAGAGCTTAATAGTAACATATTTATCATTGCTGAAGGCTATGTGTACGTGTTTTACACCATATGATAAACCGATGTCGTATGACGATGTACACACATTTCTTTCGAGCAATGAACAAACTTTTCTTCAATACTTTCTTATTAAATGGTGACCATACAAAGTAGGCATTTTAAGCCAAGTATGAATGGAGATATAGAGTTTTGAAATATGGTTTTCAAAACCATTCAAAGTTATTTTTGACATATGGTTTTGAATAACCAATGAGAACCGTGCGGTGTTGCCAAATCTAATAATACCAGCTGATTTGAATATTGCTTAGTATATTAGTGTATATATATTAGTATATATATAGTAGTATATATATTAGTGTTGACAACGGGCGATGTGGCAACGTCGCACTAGCCTTTTCTTGTGATTGGCTGCCACCAACTGCAAACTTACGTGGTCCCGATATGAGGAATCACGATTTATTCTACCTTTATATGAAAAGAAAAAATACTTATTGAATTTTAATAATAGTTAGCCTACTACAAATTGTAGGCTACTGTGAATACCTTAATGTTCTCAAATGTGTATTTTTAATAATTTATATTAACCGATTCTATTGTGTGTTGAAGCCCTAAAGGTATCTTCTATTTCCATAATGATTTCGGGGTAAATAATAGTGTACTGATCTTCTCGAGAATTTCACCACGAGAGGATAATTTTACACCTAACTAATTACACACAATAAATGAAAACACATAAATCAATCAATATCAATATACTCTAAACATTGATTGTTTTTGCACTTATGTCTAATTGGGTTATTAACTAACCCTCGTCAAAATGTAAACATCAATAATGTTGCATTTATTGGCAATTTATTAAGCATATTCATACATCCAGAGGTATGGTACAAAAAGATAAAAATATCTAACACTGGTAAAACTGTATAATTTAGCCTACATAGTTTACTTCACTTCACACAGCACAGTAAATAGCTTATTTTTGTACTCGTTTTAGACCAGAAAGTAGTTTTTCATAGATAGGCCTTGAAGCAGTTAACCTTAGTAACGTTGTTTACATTTTTACATTTATTTTTACCATGGAAACAAGTTGTTCTTCCTGCAATCTTCTGATATAAGGTCGAACTTTCTTGCGCAGTTTAAAAAAACTACATAAAGTTGATAACCATTTGTATCTGATAGATAACTTATAATATTTCAACTTAGTCAACTACTAGATACTTCTAGTTCTAGAAGAAAGGTGTCACAAGTCCTCTCCTACGTAACCAGAGATCGTACGAGAATGGAAGGACTTAAAAAAGCCTGGTGAGTACAAAATATTAAGCTAGATCGTTGAATAAATTCAATGCATATCCATAAATTTACTCTTGGTTTACCCATTGGTTGATAGCTAGGTACTTAAAATAGTTTGAATTCCAAAAAGGATGTAGTTCATTTTTACACTGCCTGTGGTGTCCTGCAAAAACTTAAATTCTTATTGATTGAAAAAAAAACCAACATCGTTTAGGAAACATTCCAGGGGTATTATTTTTTACTCTACAGTGGTAGCAAAACGGGAGTGCCGATGGAGACCAGGTCAAGTCCCTTCAACCGCACGCACCCCCGCAGGTCTCCATCGGCACTCCTGTTTTGCTAGCTTATCATTTGAAATAATGGGGAGAGGTCCAATTTGATTTGGATCATGAATCGTCAAAACTAACAAATTTTTATGTTTTATAACAATTCAGTTTTAGTGTAAATAATACACCATACAATTACACATAATGCGCCTTAATATTTATTAGATATTTCTTTGAAACCCATAAAATATACATTTTCATTTCATAAAACGTATTCAGTGGCTGTTTACCGGTTTTCAAACTTGCATATCCAGGTTGTATTGAGGATATTACATGTATTAAAACAGTTTTCAATTTTTCAATTTTGTTTAAGGGAGGAGAATCGAGCCCTGCTGTGTGTTGGCGGTCTGGGGGTGGTTGTTTCCCTGGTTTCCCTTGGGATCTGGACATGGAACAGATTTTACGCAGATTCAGATCCATCTCCTCCTCCTTCTCCATATCCAGATCGTTTACAAGGGGGAAGAGCGGCACATCGAGGAGCCCGCGAGGAGATCCAGGCTGTAATTGACCTATGACTAAATTATTGTAACCTTTATTGAAAATAAAAATTATTGTGATGTTATAAAACTCTTAACTGATAAAATTTATGGTAGCTTGAGACTGTAATCACGAATATTATTCATTATTGTTCACACAATTTTACGATGTTTTGAAAAGCTCTATAGATGACACTAAGTTTATGGTAAGCTCTATTTCATACTTTGCCAGATTCATTTAAGCCTAGTCATTCTATAGAATGTCTGATTATATACTTTGCTTGTAACATTCATTTGCTTGGGACATACTCTGAGGAAGCCAAAAGTACAACTTAAGAATAAATAATAAGACTTGGGGAGAAGTGAAGACACTTGCTGGAGATAAGGAAAAATAAAGTTGTAGAAAAGTCACACATAACAAAATCAACATACAGTGAATACTAATAGGAGTACCAATATTTTGAAGAATTGTATTATTATTACTTCATTACTTTGTATATATGAGGGTTAGCTGCCATTTGAAAAAAAAAACATAATTTTGTCATACAAATGTTCGAATTTTTCGAAATTGTATTTGCTTTATCAATTTATTTTTATAGTTCATACTGTTTTGAGGATCGAACACAACCAAAGCGACATTGATAGTTATGCCACAAAAAAAGGTCATTCATTGTTCATCGATAAAAAGAGTTGGTTCTCCCTCATAGCCCAGTATCGTGATAATTTGAATAAAGTTATAAAAAATGAACATCTTTTTTAAAAAGTTTAAAAAATATTATCTACATGGAAAAGTTCCTGAATCTTAGGTTTGGTTATCAAATCTCTATTGAAGTGAGTGGGAGAAGATCCATTGTGAATTTAAAAGTAAGATCTCAACTTAATAATAATCCCAGTACCTTTTGGAAAACCATTTCTGAATTTTACATTAAGACTTTTAAATTCTGCTTGTATAAAGTATAGGACTCGGGCAGTAAAAAATACTTTTCAAACCCAACTAATTATTTTAATAAAATTATATAATTTCTTATAAAAACTATGGTAAGATACTTAATTCTTTTTACTCTCAGTTAAAATTATCTTTTTTCTAACATCGTTATAGGCTCAATATAAATTGAAGTTAATTGATACACATTTTTAATTGTTTGGATTATTCAGAAGTTCTATATCTATCTATCTTCTATACTATTATAAAAAAGAGGTGGTTGCTGTATGTGTGTATGGGAAAAGTAAACTCGAAAAATACTGGTCGGATTGGGCTGAAATTTGGCATGATGATAGCTCACATTCCCGATTAACAAATAGGCATATTCTTATTTCAAAAATCCTTTCGGGCTCCGCCCCAGTGGCTCTGGAGTTTCCCATGTTAACCTTATGAGAAATGGAATTATTGAATCTTAACAGCTGTTTCAATTAAACAAGTTGGTTCTGTTCTATGATGTTCAATAGCATTAAAGTTACAAGGATTACCAACAGGGTGCAGCACTATTATTTCTTTTACATTTACGACAACAGCTAATTTGCAACCAAAAGGTGAGTGAGCGTAGCGAACGAACTTCAACCTGGAGGCGAGTTAGCGTAGCGAACGAGCTAACCTGAAGGCAAGTGAGCGCAGCGAACGAGCTCCAACCTAAAGGTGAGTGAGCGTAGCGAACGAACTTCAACCAGGACGTGATTGAGCCATGCGAACGAGCTCACTTATGAAGTAAAACGGGGCAAAGCCCGCGGGTACAGCTGAGTGAGCACAGCGAACGAACTTCAACCTGGAGGTGAGTTAGCTTAGCGAACGAGCTCCAGAGTGAGCGTAGCGAACGAACTTTAACCAGGACGTGATTGAGACATGCGGACGAGCTCACTTATGAAGTAAAACGGGGCAAAGCCCGCGGGTACAGCTGGTGTAAAATAAATGTGACATGTTTAAGGACATATTTATGTGAAAATCCAATGTAGTAGGAAATACACTTAGTCTGCAGATTTGCTGCAGTGGGGGTATAAGATAGTTGATGTAAATAAACAAAGATTCTATAGTTTGCAATAAGTGGTTTAAGTTTAGCTTGGTCAAAAGTAGGCATATTCGAATAATTCAAATCTCCCTGCCAGTGCCAGTAACTCAATTAAACCACGATGATGTTTAGCAAACTGGCGACAAACTAACATAGGAGTGAGAAGTCAAAGATCTTTCAGCACTGTGTTAATAGAGAGGGGAAACAGAGGAATGAAAAGAACGATAAAACGACGCAGCGTCACCAGAAGCGGTGTGAACAGATGATAACGGGAAACTGCCCTTATCAGTGACCTTGATGGACAATAACTTAGGCTCTAATAACTCGCCCTGTACGTTTAACAGCGCTGTAGGTTGTTTCAGATGTTATTCCCTCCTGTGTATTGAGTGAATACGTGGACTTTTACTAGACACCGTGTATGTGGTAAAATTCTCAAAATATTAAAAATTGTCTTTTTAGTTTTAGAAGTTTTAGCAATTAAATAGATTAAAACATGTTTTCCTACTCGACGCAGAAAATGATAAGAAATAGTTATTTGTGTAACTAGTGGGGGAAGTGGCTCTTTGCTGCACACGAGAGAAATGTTTACGCACGAGCCGTAGGTGAGTGTGAAAAGTTTCTCGAGTACAGCAAAGGAAATTTGCACTCCTGTTACGCATTATATTTTTCCTACAGTTATTTTAAAGCATAGAAATAATTAGTCTTTAAAACACTAAAAAACACGTTTTAGGTTAGGTTAAATCCAAGCGTTGAACGAAATGGGAAACACTGCAACAGCTGATCGTAGTCGTAGCTTTAAGTGTTGTCAACCTATTTTTAATCGTACACGGATTACGTGCATAGTAAAAGCACGCTGTTTTGTATTGTTTGGTTGGAATACTGAGGTGCGACAAAGTAAAAAGTGCGCGGCAAAGTATGTAAATGCAGCAATTAGCAGCTTTCTGTACTATCATTAATTAGTGAAAGGAAACCCACTTTGTCGGGTAACTACAGGCAATAGTTATTTGTGCAACTCGTGAGAAAAGTGAGCAATTGACTCACTCGAGAGAAATCCTTACTCACTCGCCGTAGGCGAGTGAGGAATGGTTTCTCGAGTGAGGCAATTGTACTTTGAACTCGAGTTGCACATTATACTATTCCTACAGTTACCATAAAACAAATAAATTTGTGAAGAAATAACCTATTTTTACACAGAAGTGAACTTTTAATATAACATTTAATGTGAAGTGACAAATACAACAGTACAACAGCTGGCCAGCTGATTTACAGCCAGTGCTGCCAACGTATTTCGCGCGCATACGACGTTGCCTGCATGTTACACGCTCACTATTTCATGCCTTCACGTTGCAAATCTGGAGTGAGACAAAGTAATTAGAGTGAGACAATGTTAACATTGTCTCACCGATGAGCGAATTGGCCACTTTGCTTTCTCAAATCAGTGAGAGAACATGTACGTTGTTAGGTAACTGTAGGAAAACGTTATTTTACAAACCTATCTTTTGTAGAAGCAGATTAGACATGATACACTTATTTTAGATTTTTTTAGAGGCTGTGTGATGTTATAATAAACATTAACTGCTAACATGAACCAAACTGCCCATCATAAATATGGTGTTTTCATCTCGAAATATCTGTGGTTAATAAGAATTACTTTAAATCCAAATTTTATTGACATCGGTAGGTCTAGTTCCTGTACAAAACATTACAAAAATACTTTTGAAATTGCCTGCTCCTTATGGAGCCGTGACTACGTTCCACCGGCGACTGTCAGGACTCAGTTAGTTGTAGGATTTCGTCTGGTGCTGAATTTAGCAAAGCGGATGTTCTGTTGCCCCCATCGATATATACCACTTGTAAAATGCCAAATATAGCAAATCTCATGCAGTGGGTTAAACTGGATGGATACTTTTCTTTTTGGCCTTTAGTTAACCCTTGAACTGCTAATCATATACAGTAATCCAAAATGCTACTGCATTTTTCTGCAGTTTGCAGGGTTAATTTCAAAATAATGAATACAATTTATTATTTTTAAGGTAGTTGTACTACATTGTATGTATTTTTCCCAGAAAGAAACAGAGAGTATTATCATTTATTAAAACCTGACCACAGTTCATAATTTTGTAATGTCTAACTTACATATTCACATTGCCTGCCTAATTTGTTATAACATATGGTTTATGTTATATTTCTATATTGTTATGAGTTTGTTTATAGTTGACCTGTTTACATTCAGTATTCTATCTTATACCCAATTAAATTAGTTCCATGTTAACTAACTGTCTAAATTATTTTATATAATCAGAGTAATTACCGCTGCAGCTCAACTCTGCTATTTCTACAACATCACATAAGGTATATTTATATGCTCTATTCTATTTTTAAGCGACCCTGTGTAGGGCACTGCTATGATGGATTTAGAATATAGCTTTGAATTCCTATGTATGAAAATAAGGTATCATCCAACTCCTTACTTCAACCCCACACCACTAAGGGTTAGGGGTGTGTACAAAGCAGCAGGAGGTTATGGGCCTCCTGTTTGCTGAATTTTAATTTCTCTGATTATTTTTTCCAAGTTCACCAACTTTGAAAATGCATCATCCACCTTCAATAAAGAAATTGAAAGGCCGTGAAAACTATGATACATGGAAAGTTGCCGTTCAAGCATATTTGGAAGATTGTGAGCTCTGGGACTGTATTTTGGGAACTGAAGAAGATAGAAGGAAAGTGACAAAATGTAAATCCAAAATTATCTTGCTAATTGATTCAGTCAACTATGTCCATGTTCAATCAGCAGAAACAGCCAAGGAAGCCTGGGAAAATTTAGAAAAGGCATTTTCTGACAGGGGTTTGACCCGAAGAGTTGGTTTGTTGCGATTGTTAACAACTACAAGGCTAGAAAATTGTAAGTCCATAGAAGATTATATTAATCAAATCGTGTCAACGGCCCACAAGCCAACCAACA